TGGATTATCCTGGTGGACCCAATGTAATTACATTAGCCTTTATATTCAGGGCAAAAAAGAAAGTCAGAGGGATTAAATGAGAAGGATTTGACATGACATTGGTAACATAAAGATGGAGGGAGAAACAAACAAAACAAAAACATGACAAAAAAATGAGACATGCCATACCTGGACTTCTGACTCATGAGAACTATGAGATAATATAAGATTGTTATTATAAGTCAACCTATTTATGGATGTAAAACAGAAATCTCAACTTTGTTCTCCTTTCCATAAGATTGCTTTGATTGTCTGAGGACCTTTGAATTTCTATAAAATGTTTAACAAATTTTTAAAAATTAAGTTTAATCATTAAAAATAAATAAATTAAATCTAATGTATATTCAAAACAAATTTGAATGATAATTCATTTCTACCCCAAATAATCTTTGCATATAAACTGAAATTGTATTGACTATGTATTAATTTGGAAGAGAATTGACAGCTTATACCAATTCTTGTACATGGCATAACTCTTCATTCACTTTGGTCTTCTTTGATTTCTCTCAGCAATATTTTATTATTTTCAAATATAGGTCTTGCCTAACTTTTATCAAACTTATGTTTAAGTATCTTATGTTTTTCTGATCATATTTTAACTGAAGTTTTTTCTTGATTTCATTTTCTAATTGTTTGATTATGGTATATATAAAAATAATTGATTATTTTGTGTTTCTCACTCTTCAATTATTTTAAATTCTGTTTTTACATTTTCCACATAGTTTTTATCTGCTAAGGTGGCTATTTTAATATTTTTCTTAACTAATACCCTTAATTTTATGCATAAAATCTTTTTGGCCATTAATTTTACTCTACTATGCATCCACATATAACTACTTGAACTCCAGAGTCAAAATAGTAGCAACTATCTTTTATTGAATAATTATTAAATTACAGGAACTCCTTTAAGGATTTTATGTGTAGTAGTTTACTTGCTTCTTACTAAACATATGAATTGGATTGCCTACTTCAAAAAGATGAAGAAAAGAGGCAGAAAGTTTAAATAACTCATTCAAATCACACAATCCTTAAGTTTCAGTGCTGGGTTTTAAACCCCGAAAGAATGATTTTACTGCCTATACTCTTATAACAATCCATTGTTTCTCTATATTTGCTCCTTAGAAGTCATGACATGGATAGCAAGGTTCTTGAAGGTCAATGTTAACAAAACAAAACTAAATTTTCCCATCTTTTTGCTCTTCCTACATTTCTTAGTCTGATGAAAACCACTATTATTAATCTAGAAAGCATAATTTTTAAATGTCAGGAATTCTTATATAAATTTTTAATGTAAAAACTCATTAAATCCTCTTCTAATCTCTATGAGTTGGATTATCCCTTTGTAAAAGATGAAGAAACATGGGTAGAGAGAACATTGAATTTAACCACTGAACTATACATCCCAGCCCTTTTATATTTTTAATTTTCAGATGGGGTCTTCCTAAGTTACTAAGGCTGGCCTTCAATTTTCGATCCTCCTGCCTCAGCTTCCTGAGCCCCTGGGATTACAGGCATGCACCACTGCACCAAGCTCTAAATGGAGTTCTTTTTCCCATTTGATTATGTCTGTTCTGAAACCATCTAATTATTTTTAGTGACAATCTAATAATTAGTGTTTTAATAACCTAAGTAACAATCTAATTATTACTATTTTAATAACCTAAAACCATCACATTTTATAATCTTTTCTTTTTCCTTTTAGGGCTCAAGAAATATCCAGAAAACACTGTGCAGAAAAGTTTGTTATGGATATGCTTACTTTTCAAAAAGACGTTGAGAGATATCAAGAAGCTAAATCAAGAGTTGCACTTGTGAAAACAAATTTTGTCTTTAATATTCCCAATGGAATGTCAAAATGAACCAATGGCAGATCACCTTCTATGATGATCTTAAGTTTAGTCCATTACTTTTACCTAATGTACTTTGAAATGATACTCTGAAAGAAATGCTCTGTGTCACAAGATGGATTTATATGTAAATCTTTTAAAAATATAAAGAATAGAGTGTTTCTTGTATTAATCATAACTTAAATCAAGTTGACTTAGCAGCACTAAAAGTTTTCTTATATATACAGCTTCCCAAGGAACAATTAAAACAGATTTCCATTACTACAGGCAATATTGAAAAGATGCTGTATATATTCTCTTTTATATCCTCTCTGAGTGTAGCAATATGTAAGGTATTTTCAGTTTCTCTGGCAAGGTTTTAGCATAGTAATTTTTGCCCCTACTGCTGACTTTTATTAATATATTGCTTATTTGACTTCTTTCATTACTTACTTTAATACATTTAATTATATTTTCTGTTTATTTTATTAAAACAATTTCTGGATTTATTTTTTCAAAGTAGGGGTTTCAGCATTATATCAGTGATTTGTACTTTCATAAATATTTAGAAAATATAAATGATGAAAAGTAAACAATCTTATTGCCTTTTTGGAGGTTGTAAGATCTGGGTGTACTTTTGATGTGTTTGTCTTTTTTTTTGCATATATGTGGAGGCACGGAAGAGAAATAAAGGTAGAAAGAGAAACAGGAAAGAATACATATAATTATAAGTAATTGAGATCATAAAGTATGTAGAAATGATATAAATAATTTTAAGTCTGCTTAATACTGATGGTAGAAAACTTGAAAAACAAAGAAAAACATTAAAAACAAAAATCCTTTTTAAAATTTTTATCAATTTTTAATGTGTTTTCACTTATCTAAGGAAGATATATATACTACTATAATTGTGACATCACTCATTACAATATAAGTAATAACACTCAGAATTTCTGTTTTATATTAATCAGTTAGATACATATATTTTAAGCCTGCATTGCTTTAAAAATTCTATAATTTTATCAGTTTCCAGAGCTTATTCATTCATGCTTCTATACTGGACTGCTATCAAATGCTGGTAGTATTTTCTTAATTTTCAGTAAAAAACAATTGTCTATTTATTTATTTTATTGGTTTTATTTTTTAAATACATGACAGCAGAATACCTCACAATTCTTGTTACACATATGAAACAATTTTCAAACCTCTGTTTGTATATAAAGTATGTTAACATCAATTCATGTCTTCATACATGTACTTTGTATCACATTCTTCCATCCTTGCTAATCCCCTGCCCCCTCCCTTTCCCTTCCACCCCTCTTCCCTATCTAGAATTCATCTATTCCTCCCATGCTCTCCCTCCCTACCCCACTATGAGTCAGCCTCCTTAAATCAGAGAAAACATTCGGCATTTGTTTTTTTGGGATTGGCTAACTTGACTTAGCATTATCTTCTCCAGCACCATCCATTTACCTTCAAATGCCACGATTTTATTCTCTTTTATTGCTGAGTAAAATTCCATTGTATATATATGCCACATATTTTTTATCCAATCATCCACTGAGGAATATCTAAGTTGGCTCCACAGTTTAGCCATTGTGAATTGTGCTGATGTAAACATTGATGTGGCTGTGTCCCTGTAGTATGCTATTTTTAAGTCCTTTGGGTATAGTCTGAGGAGAGTGATAGCTGGATCAAATGGTAGTTCCAGTCCCAGATTTCCAAGGAATTTCCATACTGCTTTCTATATTGGCTGCACCAATTTGCAGTCCCACTAGCAATGTATTAGTTTGTGTTTTTGCCCACATCTTCTCCAACACTTATTGTTGTTTGTCTTCATAATAGCTGCCATTCTGACTAGAGTGAGATGGTATCTTAGAGTAGTTTTTATTTGCATTTCTCTAATTGCTAGAGATGATGAACATTTTTTTTCATATATTTGTTGATTGATTTTATATCTTCTGAGAAGTGTCTGTTCATCTTCTTGGCCCATTTATTAATTGGGTTATTTGCTTTTTGGTGTTTAGCTTTTTGAGTTCTTTATACACCCTAGAGATTAGTGCTCTATTTGATGTGGGGGGGGGAAAAATTTGCTCCCAAGATGTAGGCTCTCTGTTCAACTCACAGATTGCTTCTTTTGCTGAGAAGAAATTTTTAGTTTGAGTCCATCCCATTTATTGATTCTTGGTTTTAATTCTTGCATTATAGAAGTCCAATTAAGGAAGTTGGGGCCTAATCCCACATGATGGAGATTAGGGCCTACTTTTTCTTGTATTAGACACAGGGTCTCTGGTTGTATTCCTAAGTCCTTGATCCATTTTGATTGAATTTTGTACATGATGAGAGATGGGGGTTTAGTTTCATTTTGTTCCATATGGATTTTCAGTTTTCCTAGCACCATTTGTTGTAGAGGCTGTCTTTTCTCCAATGCATGTTTTGATACCTTTGTCTAATATAAGATAATTGTAATTTTGTGGGTTTGTCTCTGTGTCCTCTATTCTATACCATTGGTCTACCAACCTGTTTTGGTGCCAATACCATGCTGTTTTTGTTACTATTGCTCTGTAGTATAGTTTAAGGTCTGGTATAGTGATGCCACCTGATTCACTCTTCCTGTTAAGGATTGCTTTAGCTATTCTGGTTCTCTTATTTTTCCAGATGAATTTCATGATTGCTTTTTCTATTTCTATGAACAATGCCATTGGGATTTTGATAGGAATAATAGCTATTTAAATCTATGACACCAGCTCTCATTTTCCTGTTAAGTAGCATATAACTATTGAGCAAGTCATATTGGTATTTCTAATTATTCTTCAAAAAGAACAAAGGGATATATTATGGGGGTGGTGGGGTGGTAGAAAGTATAACAGATATTAACTTTACTAAAGCAAGTTTACATAATCCAGTTTTCTATTCCAGTTTTGAAATAATATGTTTAGGGGCTTTAATGAAAGCAATGATCCATTTCAGGTAGCATTATTATGAGACTTAATTGAAGATAATCCCATATAAATAAAGCAGCACAGTATTTTCAACAAAGTAAGCATTTAATAAAGGTTAAGTGTGCAGAGTGGAAGCAGAAATCATCCTCTCTGTAATTATATGAGGATTCATTAACTATTTAAGGGGAACCACCAAGGAATAGTGAGCTTATTTGTGTGATGTATCTGGAACACATCATTTAATCCATACATTTGCTGAGTATTTTTGCTCCCTTCCTCTATGCTTCCATTCCATGCCATGAATCTTTTATAGTTTTTACCACACAACAGGCAATCAACAGTATTTTTGGACTATTGCCAGCCAACTGTGAGCTTCTTGAAGGCAAAGGATATTTTATTCATTTTTTGTCTCTATTACTTCTCCTGAGTCAAATATGTTACTTACTATATTCTTAATGTTTATAACTCTCTTATTTATGTAATGTCTCAAGTCAACTTCATGAAATTTACTGCCACTTACTGTTTGTTTTGAATAATCCAAACTCTGTACCTCTGGATTGTATCTCAGTCCTGATATGCATCCTATAGTACCAAAATGCATGCCAAACACCTCTACTTTGAAGCTTGACATTTTTTTTAAGTTGTACATTAAAGTGGAATTCATTTATATATTCATACAATTATCTTATTCTCCAAAATCTTGCTTTTTTTCTGTATTTCCCAGCACACCTGGATATATAACCATCTACATGGATTCACTTAGAAGATATCTTTGAGTATTTTATTACTCTATCACATCTTATTAAATATTATACCTAATTAAATCTAACTATAAAAGTTCTCTATGGTGGAAAGTGGATAGCTTTTCAACAACTTTTTTTTCACTTTCTTTAAGACGCAACTAGTTATATTTCACAGCTTCTCTTGCAATTAATTGAAGCACATGATTGAGGTTTAAACAATAGAAATATCGGTCAAACTGATGTTGCAATAAAATTTTATTTATAAAAAAGAATACCAGCCAGATTTGATACATGGGTAATAGTTCTAATTCTGTTTATTGATAGATGAACTTGCATATTTTAAAATTTTATTTCTGAATGGTGATGCGTTCCCTCTTCCAATCTTATGTAAACCTTAAAATATAACAAATTTCTCAAATAAATGACTACTAAAATTTTTCTTATACTAATAAAAGTCCCCTTAAGTGTAGCTGTAGATTAATATAATTTTATTTACACATAATAATAATACTGAAGTATATTAAAATAACTCATCATGATAGAAATATATCATTACCTGGACAAAATGGGTTTACAAAACAAAGTGCCATTCTGAAGCCAAAGTTAAAAGAAGGAAATAGTGGCAGGTTAGATTAAAAAATAAAGTTATTGAAAAAAATATAATAGAACCAGATAGAATACATACTGTGTGTGACCCTTCTTTCTTTGAAGAATGAGATATTGGTACTAGAAAAGTGTTCATTTACCCCTTCCTAGAGTATACTTAGGTGAAGCAGTAGCCACTGCAATACTGAACCAGCTTTCAGCGATTACAGGAGAAGCATCTCAGAAAGAAATTAAAACAAGTTAATTATCAACATTATCTTCCTTTTATGTCCTTTGAACCAAAAGTAAATCTTATTTGGTATCCAGTGATCAATATATTAGTCCAAATTGTGTAGTTTGTGGTAATAGAAAGCAATGCTTTAAAGTGTAGGCTTTTAAAAAGAAATGGGTTTGAATTATTTGCCACTTTACTAATTATAAGACTTTGGGAAAATCAATGACGATCTTCTTCATTTGTAAATGACATAACTATGTAAAACATATTGGGCATTACTATGTCATTTTAAGAAATAATTCAGTTATGATAATGATACCTAGGTAGGAAGGCAGTAGATATTTTTCCAGTTATTAAGAAATGACCCTTGGTTTTAAAACTTTCCTGGTGTTTTGATACCTTTGGCTTTGTATTCCACTTTGAAGATAATGTTTTCTAAAATCACTTATTTATCTGTCAAGAGTACAGAAAAATACCAACGCTAACCTAAAATATCTACTAGGTTGAGGTGGTATTTCATGGTGTTTTGTTTGGTTTGCATTTCCTGATGATTAGTAATGTTCAGCATTTTATCATGTAATCTGTTTGCCATTTCTACATCTTTTGAGAATTGTCTATTTAGGTTTACTACCCATTTAAAAACAGGATTGGATTAATTTTTCTTTTTATTGTCATTTTTAAAACTTGTACACTATAGTTAATTATACATTCAAGTAGAATTTATTGTGACATGTTCATACGCATACATGACATAGTTTTGTTACTTTCATTCTGCTGTTTATCCCCTTTCCCATCTTCTCTCCCTCCTCCTCATTTTTCTTTCTATACTCAAGTGTTCTTCCTTTTATTTTTATGAGACCCCTAACCTTTTCTTAATTCTTTATTTATATCTGACTTCTGCATATAATAAAAAAAATTGACTCTTCACTTTCTGAATCTTGCCTACTTCATTCATCATGATATTCTCCAGTTCTATCTGTTTACCATCAATGGCATCATTTCACTCTTTATGATTGAGTAAAACTCCATTGTATATATATGCCATAGTTTTATTTAGTCATATATTGAAGAAAACCCAGCCTGCATGTAGCACTATACTATGATGATTTTAGTTCTTTTGGATAAATACT